GCCCGCGCGCCCGGCTGGTGCTAGGTAGGCGCCGCGCCCTTCCCGCGGGCCCCTCGGGGTCTCGGGCCGGCGGCCGAGCTCTGGGTTTGGATTCTTTACGGGACAACAGAAATCGCCCGTCTGGGCCTGAGTGAGGACTGAGCGAGGGGCACACTGGCAGCTTAGGAGCTCAGGCCCCAGCCCGCCTCTCCCTAGCTGTGTCCTCGGCTCAGCTGCTCTGGGCCTGGGTTTCCTTTTGAGAAGAGAGGCTGATAAAAAGATCTGTCTCAAAAAGGTTGGCCCGTGGGCGTAAAGACAGTGCTCAACACACAGTAGGTGCCTGTGGCGCCACAGGGATGTGCCGCCCAGGACCTCGTCCACGTTGCTCTGGCTGCCCGGCTTCTGGGTGCAGCCGTCAGGGACGGCCTCAGTTGCAGAGCAGCCTCCCCCAAGGCCACACACCCTTTCTGAGGACAGTCCACGCAAAGACCTGTCAGATGGGGCTCTAAGGGCCCAGCCGGCAGGGACGATTCTGATGGGTTATTTCAGCTCCAGACCCCTCCCTCCAAGGACTGTACCGGCCCTGCATCAGAGCTCCCTGCCTCTCTCCTGCTCTCTAAATATTTCTGAATATTTTAGAAAAGCTAAAGGCCCCTCTTCCAATTCCAGTTCCTTCTCCCCTCCTCAAGGGTAGCCACTGTTGGGTTTATGTGCGTGCCCCATCTTCTACAGCACACCTACGCACACATGTACGTACACACAGACACACACAGACAGCTCATCTCTGTGCTTTACGTACAATTTTATCAGATTGTAAGTATCAACCAGCACTGATTTTTTTCACCCAGTAGTATGTCTTGGAGATCTTCGTTAGTTACTACAAGTGGGTTAACTTCATGTTTTTCAAGTAGTGCATAATATTTCATAGCATAGTTATATCACAGCTTATTTAGACATTTCCCCTCTAATGGACCTTTAGGTTGTTTTCATTATTTTATTAACACCTAGCTCATGGAGTGTGCCCGTTAGATGTTTTAATATCAATCTGATAGTCTCTAAAGTGGCTGAGCCAGTTCTTGTCCCCCACCAGGTGTGTGTGAGACCCATGTGTGTGTTCACGCTGCATGTTTATTTGAGTGTCTGTGAATGTGTGCGTACAGTTCTAAGTGCTGGGAATGCGGCACTGAGTAAAACTGATGAACATCTATTTTCTCATGAAGCTAATGGTTAAAGTGGCCAAAATGTTTAACTTTTTCCAATGTGACGGATGGACGTTTCACTGTCCTCTAACTTGGCCTTTTACATTCATTTATTGGGGACTCTGTTGTAACAGGTGAAAGCTAGACAGCTCACCACCAGAAGCAGGCAGTGATGAATCTTGGGGTTCAGATATACCATTACATGCATTTAACCAGTGACACAGGGTAGTAGCCACCAGTTGGATGGGGAGGGGTGGGGTGGGAGGAGGAACTAACACCCTCCTAGCTAGTTCTCAAAAGGACCTGAGAGTTATGAATATGCAGCAGATCTGAATGCAGCCTTTCTAACACTCACCCCCCC